AGCCAATAATTTCTTGACACGTGGTACACTTTCGTAGAAAAAACTGACTGCCACAAGTCCAAGTTCGTTATCAGTGGTAGCGAACTTGGTAGCCAATAATTTCGTGACACGTGACACGTTGTCGAAGAACTTTTGAAGTGGTGATCTCAAGGTTCGCAACAATTGGTGCTTTCGTTGAAAGTTGAGGTCACGGAAAGGATTACTTATAGACTGTATTAAGATATTTTTTGAGCACTAAATACTGGTAGGTGAGTGAAACTGCCCCAAAAAAGAGAAAGGGCTATCATCGGATCATTGTCGATAGAGTGAAAGCCGCCACACTGGCCCTTAAAGGAGTGGCAATGTTACAAGTTCCACATTGGTATAAGGTCTTGGATATTTCTATCTTTTGAGCTAGTTTCTGAGACAATGATATCAAAGTTCGCAACATAAACTCATTAGTTTTTTTACTTTTTAATTTTCTGCTTTAAGTTCCACATGAATCGCACCACATGGCGGGTTTGTAGTTAGTTGAACTCATCTTGACTTTTTTTTTATGTGAAAATGAGTTGGCGAGTTAGAAATATTAACTTAACCCATTGTTTATGACAGGTTAAACAAATCAACCTATTGGATTACACCCATTGTGTCACATTTGAGAGGCAATAAAAGCACCAATAAAGAAAATGCAAAAGATTTTTGCAGAATTAGAGTGAAAAGGAGAGGAGGAGAAAAAAGGGTTTTTACAAAAAAGAAAAAGAAAAAAAGGGAAGATATTTGGGATCAAATAACCTATTTAATTCTATCCGTTTTTCACTAATTTATAGACAAAATTAACAACCTATTCTACTAAAGATAAATCTGAAATAAAATTAAGATAGAGATAAATATGCATTTAAATTAAAGTTTATCCTAATTTACTTATAGATTTTATTTTTTGATATTATTGAAGATAAATATATCCTACCATATACACATGATATGGTGGGGCCTCCACCTATTAAAAAAAAATGGTGGCACAATCTTTTATATAAAAAGAACATGAGATATTTATCTTTTGTAAAATGAAAGAATAATTTTTTATTTACTTAATTCAAAATTCTAATCAAATGTTTCTAGAAGACTAGTACTGGATGTTGGCCCATTCAAGTCATAAAATCTTGTAGGTACATGGGCCATTTGTTGTTGCGTTTGGACTGGCGACATGGGCTGCTATGGATGGCCTAGAGGGTTCCATGGTAGCATATAATAGCCATTTTAGGTTCAATGTGACAACGAGGTTCTTAATTATAGAAGTTCTATATACCAGTAAAAAAATTTCACCCCTCACTAGATTGATAATATATATATATATATATATATATAGATATTATGTGTTTATTATGATCAAAAGGCTCCATAAGAATTGATTAGTAAATAATTTGTTAATTGTTAAATAACTTCTTAAAAAATTATAAATATACTCATGTATGAAACTAAAACATAAATATTGTATCTACAAAAAAAGTAATTAATTCATTTTTAATCAGATTTTATAGTATAGTTTTAGTTAATTGTTAATAAAGTTTTTTTATTTTTATTTAAGCGTAATGCTATAATGTGTGTGTGTGTGTTTGATTTGATAAGAATTAATAAGACTTATTATTATTTTATTTTAAAATGACTTAAAAAAGAATATTTTATATTATTAAATATTAACTATTAAATATAACAAATTTTATGTATATAATGATAATATTAAGTATTAAAGTTCCTTGATAACAATGATAATTATTGTTTACCAAAAAAAAACAATGATAATTATTAACCACTATTTATAATAAAATTACTTTAAAATAATTAAATTACATTATAATATATGTGTGTGTGAAAAATATATTAATTTTAGTTGATAGTTAAATTTTAAAGATAATTCATGCAGAGTATATGTTAAAACATTATTTAAAATATTCTTAAAAATAAAGATAATTTTCTACAGAGAACTCGGGTCAGAATAGGAAAACGTGGATTGCATTAAAAAAAACGAAAAAAAAAACGAAATTAAAGCAAACATTTATGAATCATCATAATTGTCATTAATTAACTTCCCAAACCATATTCTAAGCTCCCACAAGGGAAAGTCTCGCCCCTCCTATAAATTTAAGAGATAGAATATTCGTACTATTAATTATTTTTATTATTAATTCACTACCACTTTAATTACTGTTGAATTCCATTTTTCAGCCAATAATATCTGAAAAATTTCCATAAAGAGAAAAAAAAAATAATTTTTAATACATTTTCTGGAATATATAATTATATTAGAGTGATAGTTGATTGATAGTAAAAATAAATAATAGTATGAATATCTTACCTTTAAATTTAATCAACATTATTATTTTTTTTTTGGTCTGCAATCAACATCATTTTTTGGAAATATTCCATCGGTTCATCGCTTCACAATTAGTCCGATTCGGGGCGAGTCCAGGATTAAGACTTTAAACCCCTCCCAAAGGTAGTACTGGAAAAATCAACATCATTTAAAACTGGGTAATAAAACACAAACAAAAAACCAGAAAAAACAAACAAAAAATGGGTAAAATAGCATAATACGTTATTATTATTATTATTATAACTTCAACACGGAAATGCGAGTTTGCCCTGGGTTAAGTCACAGCCCAAACGTCAATGCCGTTTATTTTAATTTTAAATTTTTCATAACTCACAATAGAAAATGCGAACTTATTTTTTTTCTTTCACATGCGTTGACATGTAATATATATATATATATATATATATATATATATATATATGAGTTTATTGTTTATTATGTCACTGGATGGTCGAGTCAGTATTAAACTACGTCGTTTTGTTTATTTATTTCCTTATATTTATTGATTCACCTTTCAATGGTTATGATTTCTTTTTTCTCTTTCTTCCTTTATCCCCATTGATTCACTTTTGTACGGTTATGATTTAATGACTGGACAAATGCTTATATCCAGTGACTTGACACTCATCAAACCCTATATATATATATATATATATATATATATATATATATGGGAAAAAGACTTCTCATGTTCCATGAGAAGTCTCCTCTCCTACCACTCTCACTTCAATGTCCGTACTAATCACTTTTTTTTTTCTTTAAGGTAGACCCCACCCCTTTCTCTCTCTGTAGGAAAACTTGAATTTCTCATGCAACAAGAGAAATTGCAAGCCCTATGTATATATAGTAGGGGTGTTCGCGGTCTGAATTGGATCGGTTTTGAAGCAAAAAACCATCCGATCCAATTCCTTCGGTTTGGTCATTACATCATCCGATCGGTTTGAATTTTTTTTCAAATCCGATCCAATTTTTTTCGGTTTGGATTGGATCGGTTTTCGTTTTTTTGAAAAGCAAAAAAAAAAACTTAAAAGAATTATTTTTAAAAAAGTGACGATGTTTCAAAACATTTCAAAATTCAAACGGTTATCAGAATTGGTTCACATGTCTTGTACATCAGTTAAAGGCTCAAAGATTATGTCACAGCCACACAAAATCAAAGATTATGTGAAACGGTTATCAGAATTGGTTCACATGGATTAGAAGCAGAAGAACTGCAGAGAACGCGAGAGATCTTAAAAACGTTACGTCACAGCCACACAAAATAAAAGGCGATTGTTTGAAACCAACGAAAATGAAGGAAAATATTATTGCTTCATCACACGAATAACAGGAAGAAATTTAGAAATCTGCTTTGCTATACCTTTATCATGCCCTTGATGCAAATAAAATCAAGTGTTATAGTACCTTTGTTATATGTTTATTTGGCTGTTTAACGGAAGAGACAAACATTGATTTTTGAGAAGAGATATGCTACTGGTGCCAGAGCGTGAGTGACTGAAAAGAGTGATAGACTAAGAGGACGGCAAGAGTGAGTTTGGATGGATTAGGTTTAGAACTTTGGGTGGGTTTAAAACTGATGGGCTAACGCACGGGTGGGTTTAAAACTTTGGGCCGGCTATTATTTGGGATAGGTAATAGGTATAATTTGGTAAAAAAAAGTTTGGATCGGTTTTCAACATCAAAACCGAAAACCGATCCAATCCAGTAATTTTTTTCGGTTTTTTTCGCTTTTCGATTTTCGGTTATTTCGGTTTTCGGTTTTTCGGTTCAGTTTTTACGGTTTAAATCGGTTTATGAACACCCCTAATATATAGGGCTTATCGTTTCTCAAACTGCTTGAGATAATCTTATCTCTGACTAGTAAATCAATTAATATAAGGAAATAAACAAATAAAACGACGTAGTTTTGAGGTAGTCGGAAATAAACTTATCTCAAGCTGCTTGAGAAATGTTTTTCTCATATATATATATATATATATATATACGGACTTATCGTTTCTCAAGCTGCTTGAGATAATTTTATCTCCGGCTACAAAATCATAACCGTACAAAGATGGATCAATGGTAATAAAGGAAGAGAGAGAGAAAGGAAATCATAATCATTCAAAAGTGAATCAATTAATATAAGAAAATAAATAAATAAAACGACGTAATTTTGGAATGGCCGGAGATAAACTTATGTCAAGCTGCTTGAAAAATGTTTTTCCCTATATATATATATATATATATATATATATATATATATATATATATATATATATGGGGTTTTAGTTTGTCTTTTAACATGACCAGAAAAATTTTCCTACACACACAACATTTTGTGGAGCCCACACTTTTTAAAGCAAAAAAAATAAAAAATTATGATACGCAAAACGAATCTCTATAACATTACATAATCACTTTTCCTACAACATAACTCTTATAAAACCCTATATATATATATATATATATATATATATATATATATATATATATATATATATATTATTGATATAAAAATAATAAATTTTTTATATCAAATTTTAATGGTTAATTTTCGTGAATCTAATAATTGTGTATATTACAATGGTGCTTAAATGGTATATTACAATGGTAAAATCATTACACCATTTTGTAAATTTTATTTTTAATTTATACTCTGATGGCCCAACAGTCACGTTATTACACATCAAAACGTTAAGAAACCAATATTGGAGATTAGAAACAATAACTACATATGATTTATCTACTTGCAAAACAAAATCTAGATCTTTTGGTAGTTGGTAATAATGTTATGCTACAGAACAAAAAGCTTAATTAGAAGACTGGGGAGAACTTCTAAGAGACTGCTCAGAAGCATTGGCAAGGCCATGCAACATTCTCAAAATCTCACTTGTGTCTTCCAAGTAATACTTGGCCTTACTAGGTTTCTGCCCAACAGTGCAAGGAAACACTTCTGCAACAGTAGAAAGAGAGTCCTTTGCATTCATTATTACCTTAAACATGTCCTCATCTGATCTGTCATCCCCAATGCATAGAACAAAATCTGGAATCATTCCCTTTTGTTGCATTGTTAACAGAAGATGTTCTGCTACAATGCCCTTGTCCACACCCTGCACATCAAGTTGTAGGATAAAAGGAAATAGTCAACATTCGAGGATGCGCTTCAATGCATAAAAATTGGATTTTCATTGTTGTTACTTAGAAAAAAGGTAATAGTAAAAATATGTAAGGGTGGCATGGGTAGAATTGAACTGAATTTTTTGAAGATTTGAACCGAATTGGTTTAAAGAACCTTTTTTTTTTTTATCCCAAACTGGTTCGTCTCAGTTCGAAACTGGTTCGGCTCAATTCGAAAACGATTCGATTAGTTCGGAACCAGTTTGGGTCAAACCTATTCTAAACTAGAACCGATTGTGAACTAGAAGATAGTAAATAAGTAAATAAGAGAAGAGAAATAGAGAGGAAAAAAGAAAAATAAATGAAAAGAGAAAAAAATTGCTTAGGTTCTGGTTTTTAAAATTAGTTTTTTTTTTTTTTTTTTTTTTTTTTTTTTTTTTAAAGTTTAGTGTTATTTTGTGGTTCTTTTACACATTCTTAAAACTGATTTTTGAACCGGTTTTGAATTCAAATGAAAAGTATGAAAATATTGAGGAAAAAAATAAAAATAAAAAAAATATAAATGATACTACAAATTTGAAAAAAAAAGCAATAAATAATTAAAAAAATAAAATAAAGTAAAAACAAGATAGAAAAATACATAAGAGAAAAAGAAAAAGAAAAATCTAAAGAAATAAAAATAAAGATAACATAAGGAACAAAATAAATAAGCAAGAAAAATAGAGAGAGAAAAAAATAATAATAAGAGAAGAAAAAAAAACCGATTTGGTTCATGGTTTTTTAAACCAGTCCACTTCATGAATTGGTTTCCAAAAAATCAGTTCAGTTCAAGAACCTAGTTTTTTAAAACCAGTTTTTATTTTTTTTTAAGTGCAATTCAGTTTTTTTTTTTGTTCTTTTGCACACCCAACAAATATAAGACCTTAGAAAAAGGAGGCCCTTAAACATTGATCTCTGGAATCAATCTAGTTTCACATGTTCCAACATAGATGAGAAGTAGAAAGATGGTTTAATTACTAACCTGAGGTTTAACTTCCACAATGTGTGAACCACTTTTAACAGAAACAGGTTCATTAGCCAGAACACTTTCAAGATGATCTAAAAGTTCCTTAGCTTGGCACGAACCAAAGTCTCGATCTGCATACTCATAATTCCAAACAAGAGCACTCTCTTTGGCCTCTATGTTAGAACCATCAGTTGTTTCCATGTATAACTGCATTACTGGCTCAGCAATCTGTTTCCAGTCAAAATCTGGAACAGCAACACAAGTTTCCCATTCTGCATCATGATTTGTCCTGGGAAAAGAAAGATTGAGCTTCAATTTTAGCACACAAGCAAGCTCTTCCAAGAAAAATGTGTTCTTTATTTTTCCTTAACAATCTCCCATGTATAATAACATGAAGCGGTGCAAATTTATTTGGCTGACAAAGAGGGTGAACTAGACCCATCTATAAAAATAGAAATGCCAAAAATGATCCCCCAATCCCAACAAATTTGAGACAAAAGAAATCGAAGTAAACTTAAAAAACAAACTAGTAAATTCAAAGTTTGGTAGTTTTATGCCATTCATTGTTTCCTTTTTCTGTATGGTTTTCTTGTAATATTCAAAGTCAATAAGTTTAGTTCATAGGGAATTAGATAATCAAAAAGTAAAATCCGCATGTGAAAAAAAAGTGTCTCAGTTGCCAGACTCTCCCCCTGTGCCAAACACACACAAACATAGACAGAGAGAGAAGGAAAAAGGACATACCTCATAAAAAAACCGTGCTCTGCAGCAATTCCCAAATTATCACAAGAAGAAAACCATTCAGTAAGAATCTTTTTCTCCTTTCCACTGACAATGAAAACAACATTCTTGGTGTCCCTGCACAAGCTGTTCAAGATGCCTATAACTTCAGCATTAGGTGCTGTACTAATTGATCCAGGCTGCATCATGGTACTATCATAATCCAAAAGAATTGCTCGGTGTTTGGTCCTCTTATAAGCTGAAACAATATGCTCCACTGATAGCTTCCTAAAATTTGGGTCCAAAGTGATTACCCGAAAGCCTAAACCAAAACCAATTCCCCAGCATCTCCTCCTGAGATGATCCCTACATGCCCTTTCCAGATCCTGCAAGAAGCTACGTGCCCAATATGCAACATCATGTGTGCTAACATACCTATAATGCTTCTCATGCCGCATCTGTTTTTCAGACTCCGGGATCATTAAGGCAGAATCCATGGCTTCAGAAACAGCATCAATGTTCCATGGATTGACTCGAATTGCCCCACTTAGTGATGGGGAGCACCCAACGAACTCCGACACAACCAGCATGCTCTTTTTTTCAGTAAATGGGTTTATCCCTAAAATCTCATCTAGCTTCTCACTTCCTTGTCTACATATGATATATTCATAGGGTATAAGGTTCATCCCATCTCTCACTGCTGTAACAAGACAACATTCTGCAATCACGTAATAAGCAATTCGCTCATAAGATTGAAGAGGTGTATCAATCAATATTACAGGTGTGTATCCGGACCTTCCAAATGTATCATTTATCCTTTTCACTGTGGCATAAGTTTCGCTTTGTACCTCCTGTACATCCTTCCCCCGGCCTCTAGCAGGGTTTGCAATTTGGACCAGAACAACTTTGCCCCTCTTATCAGCATGTTGCAAAAGCAATTGTTCCAAGGCCAAAAGTTTTAAGCTGATTCCTTTAAAGATATCCATGTCATCAACCCCAAGCATCACAGTTTGACCTTTGAACTGGTCTTGTAACTCAGCAACTTTTCTTTCTGTCTCAGGAAGATTCATGACAGATTGAAGCTGGACTATATGAATACCTACAGGAAGAATCTTAATACTAACAGTTCTACCATAGTACTCGATACCGATGTAGCCACGCTGGGACTGATAAGAAAGCCCAAGCATTCTACTACAACAGGAGAGGAAGTGCCTGGCATAATCAAAAGTATGAAACCCAATAAGGTCAGAGTTCAAAAGAGCTCTGAGAAGTTCATCCCTAACAGGAAGGGTTCTATATATCTCCGAGGAAGGAAATGGACTATGGAGGAAGAATCCTAGCCTCACCCTGTTAAATCTCTTTCTCAAAAATGTTGGCAGAACCATCAAATGGTAGTCATGAACCCAAACAAAGTCATCATCAGGGCTAATGACTTCCATCACTTTGTCTGCAAATATCTTGTTCACAGAAACATAAGCTTGCCAAAGGGACCTATCAAATCGACCACCAAGATCAGGTGATAGTGGAAGCATGTAGTGAAATAAAGGCCATAGATGTTGTTTGCAGAATCCATGATAGAATTTACTAAAAAGCTCAGGAGGGAGGAATGTGGGTACACATTTGAAAGAGTCGAGCAAGTGTTGAGCAACATCATCTTGCTCACTTGGCTCAATTTCTTCTCTGAGACAACCAACATAGATAACTTCTACATCCTCCCCAAGACCATCTTTCAGCTGTAAAAGAAGTGAGTCCTCATCCCAGGTGAAGTCCCACTTACCATTATCTTTCCTGTGTGCCCGTAACGGAAGTTGGTTACCTACAATGATCATCCTATCTTGAGAGATGGAAGAGGGAGCACCAGAACCAACACTGTTGCTGTTATCATCATCTAGTTCAGACAGTACTCCAGCAATAGTGGCCACCCGAGGAAGCCTTTTCTTTTCACGACCGAAAGTTGGGGAGTCACAGGAAGTAAGATCTAACAAGTTCGAATATGACCTCGAAACCATTATGATGATGGATTGACGGCCAAACGACCTTTGGTTGACAAGATCTAGAAACAGGCTTTTGTTGATTCTTCACAACCAAGTCCTTCAACCCACCATAGCAAGGATGAAATTTCAGAAATCTGAAACCAAATCAAACACCATATATTCAGCAAAATAAATACTGCATATAGTTACCTTACAAGAAAAAATTCCATACAAAAGTTAAATAAATTTTCTTTGCGTCTCAGGATTTCAAAAGATTCAGCTTTGGCACGCAGTTCTCATGATATGTAATTAGCTCCATGAGGAAGGGGGAAAAAGAGCAAAGAGGGACATAAATCTCAAAATAGATCCACTTCAGCCAGGTTTGACAGAAATTAAACAACTGAGACCATTCAAAAAATATGTTTTGAAGCATACCATCTTCAAACCAAAGAGTCCTATAACACCAATTTGAGAAAATCCTACATGGAACAATCAACATCCGTGAACTAAATCTGACAAAACCATAATCTACAACTAACAAATTTTACCAAGCAGAAAATCATCTAGCAGCACTCAGAATTGGAGCAACTTGAAGATATATCTAAATGTACGCTTACCCATCTTCCATTGATACACATAGAAGCTCAAAAGAGAGAAAGTAAGCAAAACAGCACACACGGTGAAAAAGGAATATCGAGAACCCAGAAAGGAAGAAAGAAGCACTTCACAACAGCAATGAAAAAAGGGGATGGAAAAAAAAAACTACCGTTGAAGGTGTCAAAAAAGAGAAAAGTGAGGTGAGTAGGAGATGAGAGACACACCAAAGATTCTTCTTCCGTTTCTCTTCTCAGTTCTCACTCACAAACCAAAGAGTCCTGTTTAAAAACTATATTTTGACAGAAATTAAATAAATGAGACCATTTAAAAAATATATTTTGAAGCATACCATCTTCAAACAAACACCAATTTCAGAAAATCCTACATTGAACAATCAACACTCGTGAACTAAATCCGACACAACATCATCTTCAACTAACAAATTTTACCTACCAGAATTCCAGAAAATCATCTAGCAGCACTCAGAATTGGAGGAACTTTAAGATATATCCAAATGCATGATTACCCATCTTCCAATGATGCACATAGAAGCTCAAAAGAGTAAAAGTAAGCAGAGCAGCACACAAGATAAAAAAAAGGAACATAAGAACCAAGAAAGGAAGAAAGAAGCACTTTACAACAGCAATGATGAAAAGAGGTGAAGAAAAAACGCACACCGTTGAAGGTGTGAAGAAAGAGAAAAGTGAGGTGAGTTGGGAGATGACACACACACACACACCCCAAAGATCCTTCTTCCGTTGCTATTCTCAGTTCTCACACAAACCTTAATGAGCAATGATGTCAAACGAAAGTATCTTTTATTTTTGTGATTTTTGGCTGCATAAAGAAAAAACCTTTTAATGTGATTTTTGAGAAACGCTAGTTTTAAATACAAAATTTCTCATGCATGTAATTTACAAATGTTAAGTTAGCAAGTAAACTATTCGAACATTTAGTTAACAAAATTTCTTTATCTTGACATAAGTAAAGTATTATAAAACAATTTTGTTTAAATTACAATAATATATATTTACATATATAAATATCATAAAACGTATATGATGTATTATTCTATTACATCCAACCACGACAAAGTCGATGTCTATAAATTCTGTGTCTCGCTTTCAACACACGCAGACTCATCCCACTCACCATCACGGTGATGTGTGAAGTGTCATGACACGAGGCGAACATCCTTAATCATAGTTTACGGCCACACGTATTATCAACTGTTTCAAATTAATGCTTTTTTTTAAAAAAAAAAGTGTTAATGATTAATTAAAACATATTTTGTCTGAGTCGGTGGCATGGTGCAAGTAGAAGGACATACTTTTTGCTTGCATTCCAAAACTTTTTTTTAATGAATTAAATTTAAATATATCATTCACCAAATTTTTTTTAATTATACCACCAAAACTTTTTACATGTATTTAATAATTTAGAGAAATTAAATGCAAGTAAATTAATCGTTAAGATTAAATATAAAATTTCTTATTCTAACTCGATATAAGTTTACCCTCCCCCTCTCTCTATATATATATATTAATTAGTTAACCTAAACTTTTTTATACCTATAGCATGAACTATTCAAATATGATAAAATCAGGTTTAAATGAAATTAGAACCATAAAATCAATTGGACTAGAAAAAAAATAGAAAATTCAAATTTGGAAGGCTAGAGTCAATGATGTTTTCAATCTTAGCATCATTATTGCAATTTAAGTGTCAAAACACTAGCTAGAAAGAAAAAATTCCTCTCAAGAACTCAAGTGCCGTGACATAGACTGAGAAAAAAAAAATCATTCACGAAAACAATGAATATTATGATGTTGGAAACTAGAGTTAACTATATTTAGCACCATTATTGCAATTTAAGTGTCATGACACTAGCAAGAAAAATATATTTTTTCTCTCAGAAATTTGAGTATCGTGACGTTGATTGAGAAAAAATAAACTCATTCTTGGAAACCGTGAGCATTACAACGTTATAACAAACCTAAAGCCTAGAGTCATATAACAAATCTAGATTTAATTATATTTGGCACCATTATTGCAATTTAACTGTCATGACATTAGCAATGAAAGAATATATTTTCTCTCAGGAACTTGAGTGTTCTGACATTGACTGAGAAAAAAATTTCATTCTCGGGAACCATAAGCGTTATGACGTTGAAACCTAGAATCGTATCACATTATTGCAATTTAACTGTCATGACACTAGCAATGAAAATTTATATTTTCTCTCAGGAACTTGAGTGTTGTGACATTGACTGAGAAAAAAAATTCATTCTCGGGAACCATGAGCGTTATGATGTTGAAACCTAGAATTGCATCACAAACCTAGAGCCTATAGTCATATAACAAACTTAGATTTAATTATATTTAGAACAATAATTATAATTTAAGTGTCATGACATTAGCAAGGAAAAATATATTTTCTCTCAGGAATTTGAGTGTCATGACGTTGACTGAGAAACATAAATTCATTCTTGGGAACCATGAGCGTTACGACGTTGAAACCTAGAGTCGTATAACAACGTAGAGCCTAGAGTCATATAACAAACTTACATTTAATTATATTTAGCACCATTATTGCAATTTAAGTGTCCTGACACTGGCTAGAAAAAATATATTTTCTCTTAGGAACTTGAGTGTCGTGACATTTACTAAGGAAGAAAATTCATGCTCAGGAACCATGGATATTTTGATGTTGGAACCTAGAGTCATATAACAAACTTAGAGTTAATTATATTTAGTACCATTATTGCAATTTAAATGTCATAACACTAGCAAGAAAAATATATATTTTTTCTCTTAGAAACTTGAGTGTCGTGACATTGACCAAGAAAAAAATTCATTCTCAAGAATTGTAAGCGTTACGACATTGGTGTTGGAGTTTGTATCTAAATTCTATGGATTATGAATAAAAAGTGGGTTGAGGAAGGAAAGAAAAAGGAAAGATGAAAGGGTGTGTGGGTTATAAAATACTAAATCCCATATTGGACAATTTGTAAGAAGTGGAAAGGTATATAAGCTCTCACCTCACACTCTTAGATTACCCCTCGGAGCTCTATACATTTTGTGGAGGAGAGAGGCGTTAGGTGGTCATTGGTCCACCACACACGCATGTGCTACCGGCCAGCCGGCTCAATTCAATTCGGTCGCGTGTGTGTGTGAAATAAATAATATTTTATTAAATTATTTTATTAATTTTTGTCTAAAATGCCCTTATCCGAAACGTTGCTTCCCTCCAGAATGCTTCAAATCGAAACATTGCTTCCCGCCAGCTTTTTGGTTTAAACTGAACCGGTGCATTCAGTTAATATTGAACTAAACCAGTAACCGGTCGTACTGCTTTGTCGCCGTCAGTCGCGGCGATTTGTCGACGGCATTTCATCGTGTTCGATCAGTGTTTATATATAGACATTGACCCGTTTAGAAATTTATTCTGATTTTTCCCGTCGTTACTAAGCCAAAATGTTGCGTCACTGTGTATGCATTCGTTGTGCATCATACATACCATAATACTTAGGCAATGTGATTCCTCAAACATCTGTTGTGTTCGTTGGGGCCCCAGACTGTTAGTGTTGTCACACTCTGGAAACATATATGTGTTTTATCCTATGAGGCAATTGTTCATCAAACCTTCGGCATCCATTGTGGGGGAACAAATTATCTTAAGGAGACACTTCCTGTGGGCTCAAATTCTTCATTGTTCTGCATACCTCCTTGATTATTTTTCTGTATACCGACATACTATGAGTCATTTCTTTATTATATATTGCACTTTGTTTACTTCATCTACTTCATACTTCAAATCTCTCAGTGTTTTTATTTATCAGCCATTGTCTTTTACAACAATCTTAAGACAACTTGGTATTTTGAATATGTGTTCATTATATTTTACTTTTTTATTTTATATATTATTTACTATTTACTGTGCAATTACAATATTAATCTATGTGATTAATTTGAGCTTTTGTTTATGTAACAGAAATGGCAAGTGCAAGTACCAACTTGGTCAATCCTACTGGTTCTGTTTCATTGCATACTGAGAAACCTGAAAAATTTAATGGGAATGATTTCAAGCGTTGGCAACAGAAGATGTTGTTTTATTTGACAACTCTGAGTCTGACACGTTTCCTCAAAGAAGATGCTCCTAAGTTGGAATAGGGAGAACAACTTGATAAGAAAAGGATTGTTGCCATTGGTGCTTGGAAGCATTCTAACTTCCTTTGCCGATATTACGTTCTTAATGGTCTAGACAACACATTGTATAATGTGTATAGTACCTTAAAGACTAGTAAGGAACTATGGAATAGTCTGGACAAGAAGTATAAAATCGAGGATACTGCCTTAAAGAAATTTATAGTTGGCAGATTCTTCGACTTCAAAATGCAAGACTCTAAATCTGTTGTGAGTCAAGTTGAAGAACTTCAAGTGGTGGTACATGAAATTCATGCCGAAGAAATGTATCTTAATGAGTCTTTCCAAGTTGCTGCTTTCATAGAAAAATTACCAAATTCTTATAAAGATTTCAAGAATTATCTGAAGCATAAGCATAAGGAATTATCACTTGAAGATTTGATCATGAGATTGAGGATAGAGGAAGATAATAAGATTTCTGAAAAGAAATGTGACAACAATCCTATAGTCTCTAAGGCCAATATTATTGAAGAAGGATCAAGGACAAAGAAGCGAAAATATTCTGAAGAAGGAAATGCTAAGCAAGGAAAAGGCAAAAAGTTCAAGGGCAATTGTCACAATTACGAGAATTCTGACCACCGTGCAAGGGACTGTAAGAAGGAACAAAAAAAAGATCAAAGGAAGCCACAAAAATCCAAAAAGAAGAAGATCACTCAAGCCAACATGGTTGATATTGCTGATAAAGTTGAAGATCTGAATCTGGCAGCGGTGCTGGTTGAGTGCAACCTAGTGGGAGATACTAAGGAATGGTGGATGAACACTGGTGCCACCGGTATGTCTGTTCAAACAAGTTGATGTTCTCATCCTATATTCATGCAAAGAATGGTGAGAAACTTTATATGGGTAATTCATTTACTTCAAAAATTGAAGGTGTGGAGAAGGTGGCTTTGAAGATGACGTCTGGCAAGATAGTGACACTCAATGATGTGCTCCATATGCTTGATATTCGCAAGAACTTAGTGTCTGGATATCTGTTGAGCAAGAATGATTTTAAACTTGTATTTGTTTATGATAAGCTTGTATTTACTATAAGAATGATGTGTATGTAGGAAAGGGCTACCTTAGTGAGGGTATTTTCAAACTGAATATGGTGACTGTAACCAACGATAATAAGATTAATAATAATACCACTTCTGTTTACTTGCTTGAGTCTTTTAATTTATAGCATAATAGATTAGGACCATGGTAGTTAAAATCTCGATTTAAATATACGATTTTATGATTTTTTATCGAAAAAATTTCATCAAAATTCCAAACGTTTTTATGTCTTTACAATTTTTTTTACGTTAAGATTTTACGTTTTATGATTTTTTATCCTCCTTCCGATTTTAGGTAAAATCCCGATTTTAACTACCATGATTAGGACACGTTAATTTTAAATTAATTAAGAATTTAATTTATTTAGATTTATTACCTAAATTTGAACATATAAATAATAAATGTCAAGTGTGTGTTGAATCAAAATTTTCG